TAAAACGGGCTGTACCAAAGTTGCAAAAAGAAGAAAGTAGTCACGATTCTTCATTAAGTATTGTAACAGAAGAAACTTAGTTTTTTTATTACTTATTGTAAAAGACGCTTTATCAGTAAATGGAATCTATTTTTATTTTTTTGGCTAAATGTTTCCGTTTCTTTAAACCTCTCCCTAACTACTCAATTTTTTCGAAAATACTTGTTTAGTAACTCGTTACTTAGTAACGGGTTATAAATAGTTAAACGGGTTACAAATAGTAACTTACTATAGTAAAGGGTTAATATACTATGTATAAACTCAGTTTAAAATTACTATAAATAAATTATAGTAATTTTAAACTCAGAACAATACTGAAATGTCAAAATAGTATCTTTATTCATTGCAAGTTTATTCAATTTGTGATTCTTTAAATATTTATTATTCAATTATAAATTGTGTTTAGTAATCATTGACTTAAGAATTCCATGTTTGTATATAAATATGTATATATCTACTGCTTTTGTTTAGAGTATGCAGCTATTGTTATTAAACAACAATATAAATTATATTGTTTACAATATAATTTATATTGTAAACAATACAAATATTTTTTTTAGATATATTATACATATAATATATCTAAAAAAATCAACTAACACAAAAAAATAGTACCATTTTGTTGGGTCAACCCAGTTGGTCAAACAGTTTTGTTTCATATTTCCCTTAAAATGGTGTGAGATATAGTGTGTATATTTCAGTATGAGTTGTTATAAGACGATGATTGGAAGAAATTGACTTTGTTGAGTATGCTGGATTCTGACACATTAGAAACTTGTAACCAGATTCTTCATTTTTTAACAAGATAAAGATTTTTAATATAATTATGTCAAATTTTTTGTAAATGTTTCCCAGATTATATTGATGTACTTTCTCTGTAACATAATAATTTTGTCGTTTAGAAAAAAAAATTATTTAAAACAGTCAGCAAGTGGTTAGTATAGTGGTTAATTTTAACTCCACACATTCTATGTCGTCTCATAACTGATAAAGCAACTAGTTCTAAACTGGCTAAGAAGTCTTAAAAAGTAGGTCCTTATTTAATAAAATGTTGAATAAACGTAAGTGCACTTTAAAGTTATCCTGCAAAAAGTATTTTTATTAGTTATTATATAATCTTTTTTTAATTTATGGCGTAATAAATTCATTCATACTGACAATAAAAGTATTTTTCTATTTCAACTTATATGCAATGCAGTATTTGTGTAGTGGGAAGTGCGCTCGCTTTGTAAGCGAGAGGTTTGGAGCTCAACTCCAACCACGTCCCTGGAAGTACCGCGATCAACTTAGTTTCTCCGCACAGCGGCTCAAGGCTCGTGTTTCGGAGTTAAAGAGTCGAGAAAGGTACCACGAAAGAAATATGTATATATATATATATATATATATATATATATATATATATATATATATATATATATATATATATATATATATATATATATATATATATATATATATATATACATATATATATACATTATTTAAGGTAATTTTGACTTTCCTTTTAGATGCAGTTATATATGACAAAGGTGGTTTGGAAGCGCGCAATATTGAAGGACTAATTGGCGATCTGATGAAACGTGCAACCTCGAAATCGCCCAAAAAATTGCAACTATTTAACATGAGTATCGTACTATAAGAAAAATTTATATTGTAAAATTTATGCCTTTTTTGTAAAACATGATCTATCGATAAATTGAATTCTGTTTACTTGTATCTTCTTTTTTGTCAAAAACATTCTTTTTCCCTTATACAAATTATACTTATTTATTGCTAAAAAACGTGTCCCAGTGTCCATTGTAAGGGTTTTTAAGGGCGTTAACGTTTCTTTTTCTTTAATATGGACGTATTGTAAACGTCCGTAGACCTAAAAGATTTATCTAATTTAAGTCTGAAACAGACGTCCATTAAGGTCCAAAATGGACGGACGAAACATGTTGCATTTGGACTTAGTTTAGACGTCTAAGGACGTCCAAAACAGACGTCCGTTCGTCCGAAACGGACGTCCAATGTACGTCTAGTGGACGTCCAAATGTTTACTGGGATACTTAAAAATAACTTTTTTATTGTATTATTATTTTTTTTAAATAAAAATGGTATAAATTGAAAATGTTTAATTCATTTTATATTAAACTTTTTTTGAATTTTTTTTTAGATAAAAGGATATTTATTTTTAACTCTAACAGGTGATTTACAAAAAAGCCATTACGACTAAAATAGAAAATGTGATAAAAATATGGAAAAGTAAAGAAACTGTAACATGAGACAAATCTGTAATATCAATTTTTAAAAGTCATTGTAAGTTATTTATTCTATTTTATTGTTATTAAATATAACTAAATAAAAATACACTAATTATTTGAGATATGATTGAAATTTAATATGAAATAATTTTAAAAAAAGAAAACAAAGAAATCAAAGAAACGGATTTTCATAAGGATGGAAACCAAAAGATAAGATTGAAGTGTTTGCTATATTTATGTTTAATGCAACATTTAATAGAAACATTAAAAGTCAAGAAAACTGAAAGTGTAATGGGAAGGTAATATCAAATGCATAAAAAAACGATATTGTCAACTACTGCTATATTGAAACCAATGATGAACATAAAATATTTTTTTAGTAAAATATGATTGTTTTTCAGTAAGCACTATTAAAAAACGAAACAATTTTTTTCATTCTAGTTAATTTCAATCATTGAGTAAAAAAATTGAATTATTGTGTAAAAATTATTGAATTATTGTGTAAAATAATTAAATTATTGAGTAAAAAAAATGATTGTTATGAGATTATTGAGGTAAAAAAAAAATTTTAATCCCTTTTTTTATATACCAAAAGCATAAAAAATATATATATAAGATAATGAAGAATATGGAAAAAAAGCTGATATATGGTCATATATCGCGATTTTCAAGAGAAGCAATTAATAAAACGATTGCCAATTATAAAAAATAAAAGATGAAGAAAATGAAGATAGTGAAGTAAAAAAAATGATTTTATAAATTTATTTTTAATATTATTGCAAGATTAAGAAATATAATGATATTTGAGAACAGTTTTTAGTACGATCGTTTTTCAACGGATTTTAATATGGATTACACGGGTAGCAAAGTTCCTTTCAAGCAAATTAAAAACTCAAAATTCTTTTTTAAGGAATATTTGATATGTCCAGAAAAAAGTCTAAGTTGTTTTGAAGAAAATTTGCTATAGATTATATTCTACTGTACCTAATGGTTTTTTTATTTGAAATTTTTTTTTTTAATTTTTTAATTAGAAAGATAAGCACATCAAAGTTCCATCAAAATTCTTTTTTACGAACATTTGATATATATGGAAACAAATCTGGAAGAAAATTGCTAGGAATTTGAAATTAAACACTAGAAAACTTTTATATTTTTATAATTTTTTTTTAATTATTTTTTTATTTTTTGTTTAATTTTTTTTTTTTTTACTTTTTTTTATTAATAAAAAATAAGTTTACCTTTTTTTTTTAATTTGTGTTTGATTTTTGTTTAAAATCATAGAGTAAAGGTATTAATACATTTTTGTTAAATGCTACCATGGTTTTGTATCGGTAATATTTGTTAATTATTTTTTTTTTCAATTGCCAACAAAGTTTGCAAATGTTAGTCTCTACAAAACTTTTCAATGTCTGGTAATACTTTTAAATTAGCTTCTACAATAGGTTTTAAACGAAAATGATATCGTATTTCTGTCAAGACACATAATTTTCTTGCGTAAACTTTTCTAAAAAACGCAATTCGTGTTTGTTGATAGTGACTTTATCAAAAATTAATTTCATTCTATTTTGAGTAACAGGATGTATAGTGCTATCCAATTGATTGTCCAAATTTCGAAATATTTTTTCAGCTCTATAGGTTGTTAAACCGTCAATATAATTTTCAAAACGTAATTTATAATTGGGTACACCTTTTGCTCGATTTTTTTCTTTTTTTTCATTTTTTTTATTAACGCTATCCACACTGTAACATTTGGCGCCCATGGCTATGACTTGCGATATATATCTAGGCGGTGGAATTTTGTTCTGAAAATGATCAGTCTCTTTGGCAAATTCTTTTGAATAAAAAGGATGATTAGGTTGATAATTTGAATAATCTAGCCATTTTTCAAAACTAGAATAAAATAGCCAATCGTCTACTTGAACTCGAAAAGGACACTTTTTATTTTTTTCTTTTTTTCTGACAATAAAATTGCAACATGAATCAGTACTAAAAAATTTTCAGCTCCTCGTTTACGTAAAATTTCTCCCAATTGCCACGAAAATTGTGCAATGTTCAGTTTGGCTAAACATAATATTTGCGCGGCGGGCAAACGAAGAGATTTGTTAAGCGTATTCATTTTCTCATACGATCTCATGATTAAAGCCTCTTTATAAAAAAATTCATCAGACTTTAAAAAGTTCAAAAATGTCTTTAAATTCTACACTGCTTTCACCGTAAAACAAAACACTCTTGGTCTTAACGTCGTTTGAAACATTAAACAATAGCTCTTTAAGATAGGAATCATAAGAGTAATCTACTGTTTCATAAAGGTCAATGCATACTTTTTTAGCCATAATATCTAATTTGTATCTATTCGCTTCTATACCTACATAACGATCTTCTCGATATAATAAATTTTGAAAGTGCGCTGGAAATAGTTTTTTTATTTGCGAATCGTTATAACTATTTGTTAATAAAAATAGGCGAATATCTTGCAAATTTTTGATCATATTCTGAAATGCATTTTTAGCATGTATAATAAATTCGTGATTTACATTTTTTTCTGATCTCCTTGCCAAAATGCCAAAATGACCGTTGGTCAATAATTTTCTGTAGGCGTCAGTGACTTGGTCACCTGTTTCCACAGCTTTTTTTTCGAACCATTTTTTCAGCCAACGGAAATCTCCAAACAAGTAAAACTTTGTAAATTTTTTTTATCAAAACTCTGCAATGACGAGT